AAATATTGTTTGGGCTTTATCATAGATTGTCTTATTCTACCTTACTAATTCCTTCGTCTTTTGAGGTTTAATTGTGTGTCTCCTTATATATTTACTTTGTTCTTTCATGTTTAGCTGCCACATCTTCTACTATTCATCGCTTTTTCTTCCTCCCTTGACGTTGTCTCTCGTTTCTTATAATACGCCTATATCCTAATTATTATTACACGTCTTGCTTTCTTTATTGTACAAATATTCTTTGGTTTTATGGGTAACTGCTTTTCTTTTTTTTTCATTTCATTTCAAATTCTTTTCTCTTTTGCTGGGTTTTCACTTCTCTTTAAATCTCCTCGTTTTTCGTGATTGATTTCCACATGTCTTCTTCCCCATTGTTTTTCATTCATTGTTTCCTGTTTCTATTCAGTACTGTTTTCTTTTCGCTTCAATTCAAATGCCCGTCATTCATGTCACTTCCCCCCAAAAATATATTTATTTATATTAAATTTACTCGAGCAGTCAGAAGAAGTTTTTTCGGTAATTACACTGTCCTACCTCAGTCAGTCGTAGGGGCACGCGGTAGCATAGTTGGTTGAGGCACTATGCTACAAGCTGGAAGGTCATTGATTCAGTTCCTGTTGAGGCCATTGGATTTTTCAATTGACCTAATCATTCCAGCCGCACTATGACCCTAGATTCGACTCAGCTTTAACAGAAATGAGTACCAGGAATTTTCCTGGGGGGTAAAGGGCAGGCGAACGGCGGGCTGACCTCACCGCCATCTATGAGCCGATTGCCTAAAAAATGTGGGAGACACCGAGGCTTTTTTCGCCGGACCACCCTTACCCTCCCCCCCAAGGAAGATTCCTGATACTCATTTCTGTTAGATGCTGACTCAACCACAATGAGACTGGAAGAATTAGGTAAATTGAGAAATCCGATTATATCATCGGGAATCGAACCCGCGACCTTCCGGATTGTAGCATAGTGTGTGAGCCAACTACGCTGCCACGTGTCCTCCTTTTCTTTATATGCGTACAGAAATATATAGAACTGTGTAAGGACTTCTCAGCGCATAAATATATTTAGGCAGTTGAACTCGTAAAAGGGATCTGTCAGATGATTCAAACATAAGACAGAAAACACATCGGACTGTGATGCAGAAGAAAGGCAAAGGTATAGAAAGATAATTGAAGAGGAAGATCCAATATATTATGTAACGATTCTGTAAACGTTTAACCATTGACATACGTAAGAGAAATTTAGATGAAGAAGAACAGCTGAAAATTTGATTGAATACATCTGGGAGGACGAGTTCTCTTTATGTTTAATCAATGACCTTTATAACGGCATACTGTACAAATATTGAACAATATTGTTCATCGACATTTGATATTGAAGAGATAAATTTAACTCAGTCCTACAACAAAGAGGAGCCGGGATAGCTCAGTCGGTATAGCGACTGGCTACGGGCTGGACGACCGAAGGGGTCGGAGATCGAGTCCCGGTATGGTCAAGAATTTTCTCTTCTCCGCAGCGTCCAGGTCGACTCTGGGGCGTGCCCTGCCTCTTGTCGAATGGGTATCGGGGGCTCTTCCCCGGGGATAAAGCAGCAGCGACGTGAAGCTGACCACTCACCGACAACTAGCACCGAGGTCAAGAAAATGTGGATTTATTCTTCCACTCCCCATTATGTTTTAATGGAGTAATGCTTAATTAGTTGAGCACAAGGATAAATTTACCTTTGCCTACAACAAAAAGAAGGCGAGGTAAGGGTAAAAAGAACTTGTCGAAATTAAATATTCATCACAATATCTCCCTGATGAGAGAGAGAGAGAGAGAGAGAGAGTGGTAATCTCCGACATTCGTTGGAAGATAATGTTATACTTGTGACATAGGAAATGGATTCATATACGACGAAGAAAAGTGTATAGTAAGAAGTGACAGAACACGTAGCATGCATGGTTTAGAACAGAAGAGTGTACAAAAATTTGATAAGTTATCGTGACGGAAAGAGACTTCTAGGAAGAAAGTTGTCTTCTGGGTTTAGGCACCGTGTATTCTTCGTTTTGGCCGACGTTTCGGAGGAACGTAGCGCCTCCATCTTCAGAGCAGTTGAATAGCTGCGGAGAGCAGTAGCTGTGGTGATAGGATGTGGAAGGTGCTGCTTATATACGAAGTAGGCAGGGGGGGTGGTTAGGGAGAACGGACCAATGGGAGCAGTGGAGAGCGATTAAGGCCATATATGGTGTGT